TTGCTATTCAGTGGCATAAATTTACATACATAAATTATTTGGGACATCTTCAAATGAGATAGCTTTAAACGAAGATGAGTACTTGCAAGAATATATTTTATACGATTCAACGAAGAGAAAAAAATCTGTGTTTTTATTATTCAAAAATAGTTCTTATTCACAAAAAGTACCATTTATAAAAATATTCAATTAAGAATATGATGTTTTTGAGTGTCGGAAAAAGATATCCTCAAAATAATCATATTGTACTTCTTATGCATCTTATATGAGACTATTACAATATCCAAACAAAATTATAACCTTGTTGAAATTCAAGATTTTAAAATTCTTCTAATAAAGTTATATATCGTGGTTTATATATGAAACAATAATTATTAAATATAATTGTTTTAAATGCATAAAGAGAACCTGGGGCGTAACACATATTTGAAAACATATTCTCAATTCAATATTTTGTGCTCTCCATTAATGAAAATTATTTTTGAATAATAAAAACACAGATGCTTCTTCCTTGAGTGAAATATATTCCTGCAAGTAATTTATCTCTGTTTAATGCTGTGCAATTTCATTTGAAGATTAACATGTCCAAGATAAAGATATTTTCCGAACAAGAATGTTCTTTTTCGTCTGTCAACCGCGTGAATTTATGACCGACGAAGACTGAAGAAAGTCGTGTTATCCTCGTGTTCACGGTGCGCGAACTTTCGTTTCACGCGCGGAAATGCGCCAGCGCTACTTCCATCGCAAGGTGGAAGTAACACATGAACGTAACATTAATACGGGCATTTGCTGCGAGACCACGCGCCGCGTAATTTGCACTCGCCATTCAGACGCGGTACATCCTCATTAAGCCAATCAGACTGAGTTTGCATGCATTATCCGTATGAACGTTACGGGACACTTCAGTTAAGAGGAGGTGGTGCACGACGTTCGTGAGTTCCTGAATAGCCAATCGGGACGTTCCATGACGTTTCCGCAAAATAATAAAGCCGAGAGCGAGCGGGACTCGCGTTCACATTGCGAATCGTAGACAAAGGAGCGAATAGTGCTGTCCCTGTACAGAATCGCGCAGACGATTCTGCGGGCTCCTTTCGTGTCTCTCCTTACCTTCTTCTCTCGCGCGCGAACGTAAGATATGGTACTTACATTGAGATATCAATCGGGTCTGGAATTAATTCGTATCTCATTCAACAATCACGAAATTTCCACCCAAGGATACTCAGTCTAATGTTTTATGTATCAAACTCGACAAGACACGGCGCGCGATGTGGTGTTCCGAGGTCTGCGAACGCGTCATCGACAGTATTGATCGATGCACGGCGAAGTTTCGCCCGCATTTTTCGCCCGCTCGGCGACGCTTAAAAGTCACCGGCGCGCTTCCGTGCAACATAATCACTGAAGGATTTGTAATAGGATTGGACACAAATACGGCCTCTCTCGACCCATCACGCTCTGCCTGACGAGGAAGCCAATCCCTTAATGCTTCCCAATCGGTAGTCTGATCGATAGGGACAAGAGACGCGGCGCGCCTTCCAATTGCCCGTTTGCCATTTCTCGCGGATTTCTAGGACATAAACTCCACGAAAATGCTAGCCCGCGAGTTTGTCCTCGAGGTAAATGCCTTTCAGCGAGACTTCATAAATCAAAAATTATATACAACGGAAACGACCTACATTGAGAGAAAAAGATGGTTGACTTAAGCTATACTAACAAAAAATATAACTATTAGTTAGTTTTAAATTATATTAATTGAAATTATAGTTATTTTTGGCATATTTTTTCCAGTAAAATAATAGTAGCAACATATAAATTATTATCAGTAGTAGCATATAAGTTACTATCACTAACAATATAGTAGAGTTTAAGAAAAAGGTAGTTTTCTTGATAATTTATAATAAAACAATTATTTCTCTGTGTGATTATAGTTAGAAGTATGAAATATTTTTTTCTCAGTGTATAAGAATATATAACGCCTTCGTCGTTCTCTATGCACGCGTTTGAATCTTCCAGGTGAAAAACATAAAAAAGTGTCTGAGAAGATGTTAAATCAAAATGTTCGAGAAATAATTATTTAAATTGCTACCACGAAGGCATAGATTTTTCTTGCGTAGAACACGAGGTGATAGTAAAAACATAATTGCAGGAAGGGAAAAAAGAAAGATACATAGAAATTATAAACTTTTAATGAAATAAATAAAAAGGATAGAATAAAAAAGATCGATAAAAAGGATAGAATAAAAAAGATCGATAAAAAGGATAGAAATTGAATTTCGAGGAATACGATTTTATTTCTATTTTTGTGAATCAATAATTTTTTATATTATTTCTTTTATTTTATTCTATTTAAATAAAAGAATTTAGGTTTAAATAAATATGTTATTAGTATGAATGTTTTCTGTATTTTAGGTATTTTTTTCTCAGTGTGTAGAGTTTTAGGGTTAAGGTCGACAATGGGGACAGATGAGCCACTGTGGGCTCACTCTCGTTTTCATCGCGTTCTTAAACGTGTCGCAGATTGAAGTTACCGTTAGATAATACGTGTGAGCACTGACCTTGGTTACAGTCTGATGAGTATCAGCAGTTTCGCGGCGAGCAAGACTATTCACAAAAACACTAATAAGAATGTACAATTAAGCGATATTACCGTGTCGTGCTTGTTACTTCCATTAATCGACCAAGTCCATTATCCTCCCTTACCCCTTTCGCTCTTCCCCTCTCTCTCTCTCCCCCTCCTCTTCTCTCTCTCCCCTTCTCTCTCTCCCCCTCCCCTCTCTCTCTCTCCATTTTTACATATTATATATCTATCTGAGAGTAATATCGCAGTCTCCTTTTTTACATATTGTACATTACATATCTATCCCGAGAAGTAACATCGCGTGGGGGAAATATATATGCCACCAGCCCTTGTATAATTTAGGAGCATTCTGAGGACCATAATTGCATCCTAAATATTCATACGTGAATAATTGAATCGTACAAAAGCCGAACTTACACACCGCATCTTTCAAAGTCTCCAATAGGGTCGACGTAGAATCATCTATGCAGAAAAATACAAACTGCATTCAAATAAATGTTAATTGTGTCCAATTGTGTATTTTATAAGTTTATATATTCGCAAATCTATCATAAATTCACCACAAACATTAAATTACTCAAAGTATATCCGTGTAGTAGCATTTAATATTTCAACTAAAAATATTAAATTAAAACAAAAACTCGCGGTTTGTTCACTACATAGAGTTGAACTAATGTTTTCTTCGATAAAGTTTTATGATACTCTTGTAAAGAGAAGAAATTCTTCTTTTGTGTACACTTCACAAGAAACTTTTCTCAAATTTGTGATGAGTATGATAATTGAGATTTTATGATATCAAGAAAATATTTGTTGTTGAAGGTAACCGTTACTTCAAAGAAAGAAAGTGAACCGTGTAATTGCTTTTCTTGACAATACATTGAGAGAAGAAATATCTAAAAATTTTAAAAATATTTAATCGGTGAGTATTGATAACATATTTATTTAAATCTAAATTCTTTTATTTAAATAGAGTAAACAATGTATATATATATAACAATTGATATGTTATCGATACTCACCGAATAAGTATCTTTTATTTCTTAGATAATTTTTTCTCTCAGTGTGGAATGATAGTTTTCTTGCGTCCCGCACGTGCAGTTTCGCGGGCGAAAGAATCGCTCGTATGTTCTTAGCACGAGATTAAATCCGCTGATAGAAAATCCGATAGTTGAATACGATTGAGCGTTGCTTAGAGTAGTTCTTTGCCGATCGGCGATCTTCAAGCGTGAGACAGACCTCGAAAAAAACAGCAGCCCGAATCGGAGTCATAATCCGACTCGTGTGCATGCATCTTCAGTAACGTCACTTCGCACACCTTGGCAGAAGCATAATTAACACTGTATGTAAATAAGCTTCTGCGACGAACAAATCCTTACGTAAGTCTCACCTTCGTCTTGCTAGCCTTTGACGACAGTGGCCGTCCTCGTTTTTCGCGCGTATCCGAAGAAGCGCGTTGATTCGTCATTCCTATTTATCGACCATACGGCAGAATCAACTCGCAAATAGAAACAACTCGATGATCTTCGAAGCGACGCTCAATAGAGTGAGTGCTAACGGCTCTCTCACGGCTGACAAAAATGAAAAGCTGGTACCATGGACGTAGGAGTATCTGGATCTGAGCATAAATAATGTTCGCAGTAGTGTTCCATTTTCTTCTACAATACCTGACTGCTACGCGAAAGACCGCAAAAATAAAAAAAAACGCAAGATACAAGAATAAGATTAGAATGGTGAGATTAGATTAGACAATTAGAATGATGACAATTCTATGCTGATCTTGCTTGATCATATCCGTTACGATCTCCATTGCCCTTTCAACTCCGCGGAAATATGCTCTTCGTCCAGACATTCCTACGTCTATGGAGTGGAAACAATTCCATGATCCGTCGCCATCTTGGTTGATTATATCCACTACAATTTCTCTTCTCCTTGAGTTTCAACCTCGCGGAAATACACTCCGTCCAGATATTCCTACTTCCATAAAATGGAAACAATCCCATAGTCCGCCGCCATTTTGGTTGATCATATTCTTCACAATCCCGTTTTCCTTGAACCTCAATCTCACGGAAATATGCTCCATCCAGATATTCCTACGTCCATGGAGTGGAAACAATTCTATGGTCCGTCGCCATCTTGGTTGATCGTATTCATTACAGTTCCCTTTCCCCTTGTGTGAACCTCAACCTCGCGGAATAATGCTCCGTCCAGATATACCTATGCCCATGGCTGAAACCACTCGTTTGGCCCGTTGATGCTGCAAGGGTTAACGGGCTTCTTCATGGGAGCGCTACCTGTTACACTCACGCGTCACTCTCGCGTAATAACAGGTATTCTTTCTCACGATCGTTCGGCCGGGAATCACGGGTGCGTCGCTTTGGCAACGCGAGCCTTCTTCCACGTCAGTCCATGTCCGACCATCGTGTCGCGTGGATCGCAGCGACTGACCTGCGGCAGGGACGCGCTTTATTTATAAATCCGTGCGGAACGTTCGTGCGACAGCTGGGTTTCCCGGTCGCTTTTACTTGAACAGCGCGCGCTGTCGCCGCCGGTGTGTAATCCTCGGTGGTGTGTGTGTGTGTGTGTGTGTGTGTGTGTGCGTCGTATACATCGGTGAAATCGAAAAAGCATTCTGTTCTCGACGAGCCACACGCATCGCTCAGCCATGCGTTTTCAAGGTAGGAACTCTCATAATGCGTTCTCCACACCCGCCGCGTTGAATCCATCAGACATTTGCACGGCAAAGGTGAGCTCGTGTGAGCTTATTGTCTTAGATAGAAAGCCCGGGAATTTCGGATGATATTCGATCAGTCGCTAAAAGAAATCATTCTGTATATACGCGAAATAAATTAGCGCTGAATAAGTACTTAACTCGAAAATGAACTCGGAACTTTACTGTGAAGTAGAAATAATTTAATACTAATTAACCCTCTAGGACATCACAAAAAGTCACGTGAATTTTAAACATGATTAAATTTTACCAAGCGCACTTTTATTTGCTCATTTCATTTCCGCAAAAATTATCAAAAATTTTAATATTTCCTTTTGAATCAGTGCAAAAAGTCTCGACGAATTTAAACTTATTAATGCTTCTGTGATTCCATGAAGTTGAAAAAAGTTATAATGACAAAACGAAACATATATTTTTAAGTAACGTTCGGAAAGTTGGTCTGGTTAAATTTTACCCATGTTCAGATTTCTAAAATTAAACTTAATTCTCAACTGAGTTCAGAATGCTAGATTGGCTTGATGCCTCAACTAACGGGCTACTTCAATATTTCTGGCTCAACTTCGATCCGCTGATACCTCTTACTTCTCTTTCATATACTGAGAGAAAAAGTTTTGTAAATTTAACAAAATATCAATAGTCGCAACTAATGGTTTGTTGATGTGAGACAGCGTATCCCGGCTCTTTAATTTGCTGACAAGATAATTTCGTCTATTTTACATGCTGAAGCTAAAAACTTTACCGAATACTGACATTTTTCTGCAAAGTTTACATCATATTAATTATACAGAATTGCAAATGCTTTTACGCAATGAAAATACGTGCAAAAATAAATAGGAGCATTGTTCAATATATGACGGAAACGAAAAAAGAAACTTTTAGATGTAAAATCTTAAACTGTCAGCATGATATTTACCTAATCCAAAAATTCCGCAGCTTGTACATATCGAAAGTGTGGATGCTCCAGACAGAAAAATTTCAAAGAACATTGCATCTTCGCATCTTCTTATTTTTAAACTTAAAAATATGTAAACAGTTTGCAAAAAGATTTCTGCACATGTGTGCGGTTAGGCTTTCCGCTGAATATGATAAAAAGCAGCACATATTTACGTAAGTTCTGTGTACAAAAATTACGAAAAGAATAACGTGATTGTTAGTGACGATCGTCTTTGCATTATCGACATTGTTCGAGTTTGTCATCGACTTCAGCACCCTTTTAAGTAACGTGAGTTGCACGCTTTGTCAGGGCCTATGTTTCACTGCGAGGCTTTTCTAACGAGCGCCTTAAATTCTTACACTCGCGACTTCCTGACGCGCTCCACTGTGAGTTCCGACTTATAAAATCTGAGAAATTGATTGTAGATTCGTTGACGTACGAGCTGCCGACTCGAATTCCACGACGCGAGATTTGCTCCGAACGGAAATAACAAAGTTTGGATACCGTGTATCCGTACGGAACTAATCGCGATCATGACGTTATTTCACTGAACTTCTAACGAGAAATTCTGACTCCGAGCTTTAGCATTGTTAATTAATGCGAACCACATCCATGCTCGTGGGTGACTTGCATTGAGATAAAAAGTGTTTGGGACTTGTTAGAATGATCACATCGTGAAAATTATCACACGGAGAAAAATAATTTGCTGACCTAGCAAATTTTCTGCTGGTCTAGCAAAATTTTTTCGTTATTATATGGACAGCAAAAAGATTTGCTAAGAGTACTAATGACTATTTGCTGGATATAATTTGTTAAATCTACAAATTATTTTGCTTTAAGAACTATGATGGATTTATATAAGCAGTTGCAGTTTTACTCCGATAGCAAATAAATTTGCTAAGGATACATTATTTTGTATCAATAGCAAATTGACGTGATTCTTAGAACAAATACATTCAACAAATGTTTTCTATCCAACTACTTCGGTTCTGATAACGAATAATTTGTAAAGTTAGTTACGTCAACTAAATTTGCTTAATGTCACTACGAATATGCAGTAGCAACGACGATTTTGCTAAAAGAGCAAAATTATTTTTCTTCGTTCAGGAGAACCATTTTTGTAGTAAATGTTATTGCAGTGTGAATGTGCACTGCATACATACTGCACTCAAGTAAATGTTACTTGTTTCAAGTATTTCTCTCATAAGTATATATTCGCAATTATATTATTTCAATTCATTCATCATAAGAATATTAAATTAAAACAAAATTTCGGTTTGCTTATTACACAGAAGCGAATCAATTTTTTCTCTGATAAAGTTTTATGAGATTCTTGTAAAGAGAATAAATTCTTCTTTAAGCACATAATAATAAAATTTTCTAAAATTTGTGATGAACACATTTTAAGACTATTATCCAGAAAATATTCTTTGTTGAAGAGAACCACATTACTTAAAAGGAGAAAAGAAAACTGAATTATCTCTTTTCTTATCAGTAGAGTAATATTTTTCCATGGGTGTGATAACCTTACATGTTTATATCGCTACTATATTGTATAAGTAACTTTTATATGAACAATAAAAAGATATAATTGCCAAAAATTATAATAATTTTTGGTGAAGTTAGCCATTTTTTCTCTCAATGTAAATGAAAAATTACGGACAAATTAAATGGACTGGCAGTGGAGAACAGGCACTCTTTTTGGACAAAAATCGCTTTTGGACGGCAATATTTAATCAATTTTATTGCTTTTTTTGTTTACTCACGTTCTAAAATTTGCACTACTAAAGTTATAGGGCAATTGACAATGAGCAAATAAAAAGAGATTATTAACATTGATTTTTATCCGAAAGGTGTGCCTTTCTCTCACTGCGCGGTGAGAAGGACGCAGTCGGTTTGAAAGGTGTCAGACGCGACTCATCATACGTCATTGCTTAAGAAGATCCACTGATTAAACGCATAGCTGAAGAATTCTTCTTCAAGGTCGCGTGGCATTGGCGTTGCTCGCCGGACCGGTCCTTAAATAGCCGCGGGCAGTCTCATTATATTTGATTATCATATATTGCTGTCGATCGGCCACGTGTTATCAGTGCGTAAACCGTTATAATCGCCAAATTCGCGTAACCGCAATACCTGCCAATTTGCCGAGACCACCCGTCTCTGTCTGCATTAATTTCTTGTGTAGACGAACACGGCCGAGGTGCTGTGTGTACGTACATTAAATCGGCCGACCTCTAAGAAACGCTAAACATGGAATCCCCACGCACGCATCTATCAGTGCGAGTCAGTCACGGACACGCTTCGCTGCGGGCTACATCCTGCGGACGTGTGTGCGCTCCTGCGACGTGTGCGGATTTATTTGTTGTGTGTCGTAACACGTCTGATAATTCCGCGGTTTATATCGCGGAAGTTGCCCTTTGACAAGATTTCCGCATGTGGTTTAGTTGTCGAAGCGTTTAACTTGTCGAGCATTTGTAACGGCGCAAGATTATCAGTGCACTCGGAAAAATGTGGGTTGGTGGATTCAGCAAAACTGTAGCTCGCCAGATAAAATTAAACGTTATAATTAAGCAGATTTGCTAGTGTGCAACCAAGAAATTACGAATAATTATTAACTTGCTCACAAAGTAAATCCATTTTTGTTGATATTATTTTAACTTCGAAAACTTGAATTTCAAAAAGTTATGTAAACCTTAAATGGGTAAATTTCAGCCAACATATTTTTATTTGCTCATAACTTACTTTTATTCTTACTTTGACTCTAAAAGTTCAAAATTTTATTTTTCATTTTCTTTAACACCAAAATAGGTTATATTATAGAATATCAAAATAAGTGTTAAATTAAATAATGAAGCTGAAAGTAGAATCTAAATTTCGACTCGAATAGGTTAATTAAAATTTGAAGAGGTTGATGTGAAGAATGAAGATTTAGAGCAAAGTAGGTGTTGAATAAAATAACAAGACTGAAAATAGGATCAAAATTTCTAAGTAACACTTGAAAAGTTAGTCTGAGTAAATTTTACTCATGTTTAGAGTCCTAGGATTAATTACTGCAATAAATTATTTTGTATTTTGAGATAATAAAAATTTACAAGACAAATTTATTAATTTTATCAAATAAATGCATTTATTTAATAAATAAGGAAGAAATAGTTTATGTTATTGTAATTTCCCATTAGTCATGGGACAGAACCATCATTGCTAACAATTAACAAACCCGTCGTGCTATAACATAAAACTTTATTCACTACAAATCTCACGTAGCTCTGCGATTTAATTACTATAATATTACTATAATACAGCAAACTGGTTGTCTGTTTTACATTACGACTACAGATTTGCCAGCAAATGATTTCTCTCCGTGCGTTACAAAGAATATTTCATTTGGAAACGAATTAATGACGAATAACCTGTCATCGCGAATCTGCTTCAGCTTCCTGTCCCGAAAGCCGACGTACACTGGTATTCATTAATTGAGTACTTTGAGTGTAGACAAAAGTGATAAACGTAAAAAGATAAATGTGCCTGGTGATGGTACGCTCATCTATACTATTCTACACCGAAAAAGGACTCAATTAATGAACATCAGTGTACGAAAGAATGGAGTCACACGTACTTCCATCCCGCGCCCTTACACGCGGCGAATGCACACGACAAATCTGCTAATTAGTATATTTCGAGAAGCGTAAAATCGTCGCGAGGGTCCGCTGTAAGTACATACTTGTCGTGCAGCCTTCGTTCTTTTTTTCTTCCTTGTTACGAGAAGTCTAGGCGAGACCGCACGTCCTTAGAGCATGTGGCGTGATACACAAAAACTCGCTGGACCGTGCTCTTCCTCGTGCAAACGTGTGTTAACGATGCGCTCCGGTGCGCATTCACGCGTACTCACGCTCCGAAGACCTCGCCCTTTTCTCTCCGCGAACGATCCCTTCGCAAGTATTGCAACGACCTGCCTGTGCTTGCGCGTACAATCGACGCTAATTAGAAAGCAACTGGCCTTTTGTAACGCTCGA